CTTCCAAGACCACATTTAAGCAAACCAAAGATACAAAAGTTCATTGCAGATGCAATGGGGGATCTGACAGATGTGTGAACAAAAGAAACTACTGTTATTTCTTTTCTTTGGTCATATTTCTCATGAAAACAGTCACTGACTTGAAATATGGTTGGAAAAAATTTGTGAACTTTTGATTTGTAAGCCTTAGTCAACTTCACATCTTTATTTATTGTCTTGTTAATGCCAGAAAATATGTCCAGCTTCAACGGAATGACTTTTTGGGTTGGAGGGTTCTCTTTCTTAAATAAAGCCTTCAGTTTGCAAATTATGCCACTACTTCAAATAGGCATTGGGTAAGTTTTGGAGCCCACTGCTGTTCTAAGTGTTCTGTTGTGTAAGTTTATCCACTTCCATGACAAACACTGAAGGCGTACATCTTTGACACATTGTGTCCTTCAGCTCTACATCACTTAACAATCTTGATATATGACTGTCTTTCCTCAGAAAGGGCTATGATATAATTCTCCAGCCATAAGGTTATCCTGGTGGCATTGCACTGTTGAATGGTTAGAAACTGCTACAAATTGCCCAAGCACAACAGCAAATTGCTTTTCTAAATTAAGGTTAATCCTCTGTAATGAGTTGCATAACAAATATTTTTTGTACATTTTTCTCTAAAACTGCTTCTTTGGTATTACCAAACAACAGTAAACTTTTCTGAAAAACAGATCCTTACGTTCAGAAGTTGTTTTAGCAGATACTTCAGTTTATTGTTCAGTTATTTAAAATACAACAGTTACAGGGACAGAGAGAGAACTGTGAGATTTTTTTCACCACATACACAATAGACCTTTAGTTTTATGAACTTTGGTAAACTGCAAATGAGAACCTGTTTTCAATTATTTAATTCAATCACATTTTAGACAATGTTCCTATACATGAAAGTCTCATTTAAGATAAAACAAATATATATTTGTAAGGTTTAACAACACAATAGTGACATCACCAGTTAATAAGATTTTCATCAAAGAAATAATATTGAGAACATTACCACTATCTGTATTCACACAGAAATATAAAAATAATAGCATTTTTTATGATTTTGGCACATTTTTCAGCTGTATATCATTTTGATACACATTATCCACTTTTTTTATATCAAAAGCATAAGAATAATCAATTTATTTCGTTTCAGTTCACAACTTAATATTATTCATAAATAAAACTAAGTTTCAAGAAAAGGATACAACTTCATGCCAGTTGGTGGGCGAACGTCTTTGGATTTTCTCCAGCTGCTGTCTACGACTAATTTCTTTACTTTTTATAGACAAAGCAGACTTTATAGCATCCTGAAAATAACCAGCAAGCAATAAATGATTTATAGATGTTGTTACAGAATTTTGAAACAGTCCTTAGCCTTCACATAGTTATTAACACAAACATTTTGGGTACTAGCAGAAATGGTGCCCTATAGTTGACTGTTTGTACTAGTAATTACTAATCATAGTATTCATACCTCATTGAAAAAAAAATTTAGAAAAGGTGAACATTTTCTAAAAAAAAGGACTTTTTTCTGGGAAGTACTGCATGGGAAAAGCATTCAGATTGTACTATTTAGTCATACACAACTCATTGCATCAAAATGATTTAATGTACAGAGCTCAAAATTTTCATTAATTTTATTGATATAAACTGTAATGTTTTTATATATTAAAAGTAGCACCATTTATTCAAAAAATAATAATTTCTTTTACAAATTCCAGTTTCTCAGTACTACATTTAAAAATACAACTGAGGGAGGCAAACTCCACAAAGTAAAACATCCCAACCAAGCAAATCCCAGAAACAAAGAAATCAAGTTAACTGGGACACTGTGAAAGAAAAAAATCAAAGCCATAGTGGAGAATAGGTAGGTGAAATTTTTTCCAGTGAAGCTGTCAAGGTAACAAAGTAGAGCCTTTGAAAGATGGTGAACTGAGCAAGATGGAAATAACCAGACTGAGGGTGAAAGAGAGACAAAGAAGGAGATTCGCAAGCTGGAAGAAAAGAGTCAAGAGACTGAAGCTCAAGAAAAGATTAAGAATCACAATCATAAGCCACAAAATAAGAATCTCAAGGTCTGAGAAAGTGCTGCTGCTAGGGTTTGGTATAAAGTTGAGACAAAATGATATTGACATGATATTCAAAATCAGAAGGAGGCTATGCAGCAAGGTAGCCCAAATTCAGTACAATTGCTAGATAAATAGAAAGAATGCCACATACCAATGTAATCAAAGGAGCAAAGGATTAAGGTGGGGTTACCTGTTCCTTGTTAGGAAAGAAAAAACCATAAGCAAAAACAGATGGTAAGAATAGCTGAACAAACTCATTCAAAGATGATGTAGGCTCAATTTATGCAACAGAAGCAAAATGTCAGGAATCCTTGATCCAAGATTAAAATTAATCCAATTATGTTGTGCACAATGGTAGTAACACCAATGAATATCAGAATCCCTCCAGTCACCAGCGAAATTGTAGAAATCAACTCTTGTTGTGGAGCATCAAGACCTCAGAAGGTGTCAGGAACAAAGATTCATAGTTGAGCTGATACACAAAACCACAAACTATTTTTAGTAGGTTTGATATAATAATGAAAGTTATAATTTTCCTACACTGAAAAGGTATTTCTGATAGGTACATACCTCCTCTCACATACATTGCTATTCTCGTTCAATGTTGCCCTCTATATGCAAAACATTTTTTCACATGCCACAAGCCTTGCACTACTTCGTACCCCATGATCATTGCCATTCAACTGTGTCTCACATGTAAATTTTCATGCGACAACCCTCCACCAATAGAGAACAATACACCCTCCTGACGCATGTGACTCCCTCTATTTGATTCTACCAAACTATCACTTCAAGTTTAGGCAGAAAAGAAGCACCAATTTTCAGTGGGCAGGAAGGGTGGTAAGTGTGAGGAGAGGTAAGTATCGATTGGAAATATATTTTCAGTATAGGAAAATTATAACTTCCGATACGGTACATTACACATTACTTCCGCTCACATATATAGCTAGAATCCCACATTGAATAGGTGGAGGGACTGGAGCAAGGGATATAAATAAGCATCTTTTAAAAGAGTTTGATGAACACCCCAGAATTGTGATCCTCATAGTAGAGAATCATATGTGGGAGACCACAATACTTCTGCAACAGGTATATTCTGTGCCCACTGTGGAAAGAGGTGTTGCATACATGGACAGAAAAAGGGAGGATCACAACCAAAAAGGAGAGAAAAATGGTTGGAGTTGAATCTAAACCATAATATATATATCATAATCTCAATACCGTCAAAGAAAGACTGTAGAAGAAACATCTAGAGAGTAATGTGGAGGAAAGCTAAAATGGGTGTGCTCCAAGGTATATAATGGCTAGGGCACAATCAACCATACATAGCTAGTCAACTCCAGTGCAAAAACCAATCAGTATCGGGAATCTAACCTCCGATCTGTGGTAGGAGGAGAGTCCACACCATCTTCACCTCAAGTTTAGTTGAACGGAAGTATGTACTGTGTAAACCAATCTACGAAGTGGGAACATGTGTGCAAACCCACAACTAACCATACATCCAGGAACCCAACATCCGAATGACAGCAGTAAAAAATGTGCCCATGTGGCAGGTCACATCAAACTCAAACTCAATCAGACTGGCACCCACTGTACAACATCATCCTCAGGCCACAAAACTCCTTGAGGTGGAGCGCAACAGGGAGAAACCATTGCTTCCTTCAACATTATCCTCCAGATAGGATCACACAGAAATCAGAGCTCATTGCCACCCTCCAGGTCCCACCACACAGTAGTGGATGCCTTTGATTAAAAATATAACCACCTCACCCTCCGGATAGAACTGCACAGAATCTAGGCACAACATTAACCTCTGACACCCACCACACAGAGTTGGTGATCCTGAGGCAAATCGAGTGAGGATGAGGAAATACAAGCAACACATGTGTGAGGACATATGTTGATTGGTCCTGCTCTAAGTCCAAAACCAGTCACTGGGAACAGACATCCATGTGATGGTAGGATGAGGAATCCCAATCAAAGGGGTGAACTGCAATGTGACAGATCAACTCCAAAGCAACATCATCCTCTGGATAGGACTGCACAAAGGTTTAAGTACCACAGCAACCTCTGTGTCACACTGCACAGAACCGGATTGCCTCCATAAATTATAAACAACCTCACCTTCTGGATAGAACTTCACTAAAGCGATGCACAACATCAACCATCGGGACTCACCACACAGAAGTGGAGCATATTTATTAGTAGATATGTGCAATATCCTCCAGTACAAAATTGGAGTGCATCGCAAACTCCCGGGTCCCACCACATGGAAATGGATCACCTCAACCAATTATATGCAACTGCACCCTCCAGATAGAACCATAAAGAAGCTGGGCACAACATCAACCCCCAGCAGAGCCCACCATACAGAGATGGAGCACACAATTGTAGGACCACATGCCATCTACACCAGTGCTTCCCAAACGTTTACAGCTTGTGGCACAATTTTAATGTCCAAAACACAGTTTGGGGAGCACTAATCTACACCAGCAGAACACCACTGCCCTATTCTTTACCGATTGGATTTTTTAGTTTTTATATATTATTGTACGTTCACATTCATGAGGATACCTTTATGGTAATAGCTCTTATTTCTGAGGAAAGGTGCATAGTGCTTCTGAAATCGTCATTGTTCAGTCTACCCTATTAATTTCTTTACTCTTAATTTCCAAAGCTACCACTATGCAAGTTTATATTAAACTGTTTTTAATCAACATCTTTAGTTTCACCAAACATCCTACTACCTAATCTGATTAAGTGAAGATCATCTCTAGCCCACCTGTTACTCTAAGCATACCCTTGATAATCTTTCATTTAAGCCTTTGATCCTGCTAAGTAATTCATTACCAAATCTAGTCCAAGAGCACTCCCAAAAGGGCCACATGTCTGCTTCTATCCTTAAACCTCTCAAGGAGTTCTTTATACTTTTTAAGCAGCTCTTCTGACTTACAATTTCTAACTTAGTATACTTAATAAAAGAATCCCTCACTGTGTAAACCTCTTGAGCATCTCATTCCATATTGCAAGCAGACAAAGGTTCAAATCTATTAGACTGGTACTTGGATACTAACTGAACTTGAACAGTTCTTCTCTAATTCCACATTACCCTCATATTGATTTTGCATTAATTTTAATTGAGAGTACACTTGTTCCCATTCCCAGAAGTAAGATAATAGAAAAGGTTAAAAAATGAAGGAGCATTGACATAACTTGGTTTGGAACAGCTTTTATCTGTAACACTTCCGTAATCATGTTCATTAATGGAAAACTAGAAGAGTACTTTTAAGTCAGCATTATAGGATCAATTAACATAGCTGAGGGTGTATCAGAGTACACGAGTGAGTTGAAAAATAGTCAGCATCTTAACCTCAGATAATGTAGAGCAGGATCTACTGACAAAAGTAAGATTTGAGAAAGTTTAGCATAGAAGAAAAACAAATACTTAGTTGATAAGATCATGATTGGATAAATGAGAAATCAATGATTAAAGTTGCTGTCCATGTGTAATAAGGACAGTGTTGCATTTTAACTATCATGGAATCTTGTGGAAGATTCTCTGGGAAATTCCTTCCTATATTAAGAAATGTTGTTCATAAAGAACCAGTTTTAAACATTTGTAACTTCATTAGAAATTCAGCTTAAAAAAGCTGTCTCAAACCCAGCAAGTTAGTTAACTCCGGCCCACCTGTTGTCACCTACAGTTACCATTTTCTTTTCAACATGGACCAAAGTTAAATTCTACTGCAAGTAATCACTTTATTAGTTAAGAAAACCTAAAGTAAGAAGCAAAAGCATCGCTATGTACTTAAAAGGTTTAAGGCTCAGGCCAATAGGTGCATTTCATTATGATATCGATCATGATTTTCTATTCTGATTTTTCAAGACACCAACTGGGGAATCGGGGCACAGGCCCCATGTACCAGTGTCTAGCAATGCCTCTGGTATGAAGTTGTCCTTTGCTTATACTTGAAAATTATAAAATTATGGGAATAATGGGAAGTAGGTCATTTTATTTGAAATGTCAAGCTTATAAATGTTACATATCAAACTGTAATAAGGAATGGCATATAAAGTTTAATAAAATACAAATTTTTGTTTTTGTATCCTGGCTGTGTAAAATGAACAACAGTACATTCTCATTATTTTTAAACAATTCTATTTGCAAATGGTTCATTAGTCCACAATAAAACAACCTATCTCTACAGCCTTAACTTTTTCACTACTGCACACCCTTATACACCTTGTTTTTCTAACTATTACAAGAGTATCACTATTGGATTAAAGCTAAAATGTATTTTTGAAGTCAGTCAAAAGCAAGTAGAACAAACACTTGTATTTCCAAAACTTTAATAACAACTATATAGTCATCATTAACTTGAGGTAAAAAGTAAAACAAAAGTTACACACACAAAAAAACACTAATCAAAACAAACAAACACAAGTACTTTTGGTAAGGTTGTTGCAGTCAGATTCATGGTTAGTTGCAGCTTGTACAATCACTTAATTATTCATTAGTAAATAATTTTTATATATCTGTATATATGTAACTAAATACTATTTACCCATCCCCTGCTGGGTCAGTGGTAAATTTCCAAACTTACAATGCTAAAATCCAAGGTTTGATTACCAGTGGTGGAAATAGTGCATATAGCCCATTGTGTTGCTTTGCAATAAGAAAACCACCAACCACTACTTACTAACTAGCTTTCACTCTACTTTTCAGTTGCTAATTGCTGCCATCTTGGAAGTCATAAAAGGATTATTTTCTGTGTTAGTAGTAACCATAACAATGATTGAAAAATAACACTTTAATTCTGTTTCACATTGCAAAAAACACTATACAATGAAAAGATCACAGTCATTTTGTAGTGCCCATTATGTACAGGTAAAGATAGAACTGGAATGCAAAACAGTCTTAAGGCTTACTTTTTCTGCACTTACTCTAGCATGCTTACAAATTGTTCCATAAGCTGACAACTGTTCAACAACTCTGACTTCAAGACGACGAACCTACATGAATGTAACATCCAATTACTCAATGTTTTGAATCATTATGTATCTAACTTGACTATAGCATAAAATAAAAATACTTATTTGAATATCCCTCAGGTAATCAAAATATCCATAATTAGTTTACTGAAAATGCAAGTCATATGGTGAACACATTAATGTATTAAGTAGTGCCATTTGATAAAGGAAACAAAATATTTTATAGAGACCATAAAAAGTTGTATCAAATAAATCTCAAAATATTTGCCATAAGTAATTATGCTAAAATATGCATGAACAGTTAGAAACGTGTGAAAAGCATAACCATATTTTTTAATTTTGTGATAACATAATATACATATCTGCATGATTCAATGCTATAATTCACAAGAAAATGTTACAAAACTGAAAATAAGTTTAAATGTATTAAGTTAAACAATGCCACATTTTATACTTCACTGAAATTTAAACCTACAAACTCTTGAAGAACATTTAAAAAGGTTGATAAGAAGTCTAAAGCACAGTAAATAGAAATACTGTTAATAATAATATGAAAATTAAACCACTTATAAAATTATCATCTAAACAAAAGTTAACCATAAATAGAAACCTACATCTTTAAAGAAATTTAGTAACAGTGTCCAGAATGCTTATTTTATGAATTTGTAATACATGTTTAATCACACTATTCTTAGAAAACTTACTTCTGCCTCTCTATAATCTTGAATGCATGAGAGTTCATCTGCAAAACACATCAAACTGTTTCTCAGTGTCAGATTCAAGTTTTCACTCTCAGAAAACTTCAAAACACTTCTTGCTAAACAATCTCCATTGTCCCTGAGTCTTGCCACTTTTCTCACATAACTTGCAAATTGAGAACACAAGTCTGCCATATTCTTCTCCAACATGTTAATTCTTTCTTGAAAGAATCGACTTTGTCCATCACTAAAAATACTTAATACTATTAATTTCTAAATTACTGCCTATATACAAGTAATGACTTTCTTTTTGAAAGTTTTTGATGTATAATTAGAAGAATCAGTTGGTACATCAAATTTTGCTATATTTATGTTCCATACTTTATGAATGTGTTGCTACACTCATTTTAAAAACTTAAAATACATCTTAACTGCAACTGATAACCATATGACCTTTAGTAACACTCTCATGTTTTTAACAAACCTCAAAATACCCAGCTTTTAATTGTTATTATTTTCCTAGATCTTTTTCTCTATCTTGAACACAGGAAAACATCTAAAATCTTTAAATTCTTATTAATCATTCTAATGTCCAAACAATTCTGCATGGCAAAACCATAAAACCTCCATTAGTTCCTCATATAACGTTGTATTAGCTCCTGTTGGTGGGTTGTTGTTGTTTTTTATTTAGTAAAAAAAGAATGCAAAGTTCAGTCTGCTTAACAAAAAAGTGTTTATTTCTACCACAAGTTCTACCGATTCACCAAGCAATAGGCCTAACTTCACAAACAGCACTACTTACTCACTAATGTTTGTATCAAGTACTTTACTGTAATACAATCTCAAAATGTAAAATCTAATGTAAAAAACAACTGACAAACACCCTCACTCAATAATCAATTCAACAACTAATTCTACTCTATTCTAACTGGGATTTTTACACTGTTAAAATAATATTTCCAAACTCTTGAGAAAATTACAGACATCACAAGCCCATCAAATCTAAACTCTTTTTTTTTCTTTTTCTAACAACCAACAAATACTTCTAGATTAAAATATGACAAATATAACTCACAAACTGCACCCTATCTGGATCATGAAGTTACTTTGAATAATTTTTCAGCATAAAGAAAACAGTATCACATTCAACTTTAACTTCCATAATTATTAATTTAGTAACTCTTTCCAAGTAACAAAATTACTTTTTAAAAGCCCCCCAGTGGAACAGTATGTCTGTGGACTTACAATGCTAAAAACCCAGTTTCAATACCTGTGGTGGGTAGAGGACAGATAGCCCATCATGTAGCTTTGTGCTTAACTTCAAACAAATTTTTTAAAATGCATACATTACAATAATCAAGTCAAAAATTAAATGTTTGAAAAAGAGAACAATTAAAATTTTATTTAACAAAACAGAATTTGTTTTCTCTACTTTTTTACTGTTCCTAAACTGTCCAGTCACAAAATCTTTTTATGCTTTTTATTTCTGTGCTGTCTTTGGCACTGAGGTAGTCCTTTCTGGATAGGTGGTTGGGCAAATCCATTAGTGGTTGTATCTCTAGTGATACTATGGAAGTAGTCTCAACAGGTATCAGCAGTTTGATTTACTTCAGGTGAATTCTTCTCTGAAGCTCAAAGATAATTATATTTGATGACCTATGACTTGGAACACCTGACATCCTAGATTATGCTCTGTTACACTGTTGGTTGGTTTTATTCTTTATCTTGTGCCTACATTCTGTTATAACTAGAAGTTCAACCTCTGGAGTAATTGGTGTGTATTGCATATGGACTTCCTGCATTTTCATAGACTGTAATACTATTCAAAGCTAATGGAGCACCTGTTTCCACATGAAGTCTAATCCCGATATGCACTCTTCCTCCATGTCACTCAATTACCATCATGTTGCATAGCGAAGATTTCCACAATGAGAGTGACTTCTAACTATCCTTTTGCTGGAACTTTATGACTACTTGCTCTTTGCATCAATTCATCTTTTTACTTTATCTCTGAAGGCAATTTCCTACCTGTAGCAGATCAGGTCAATTAGTAGAACCAATGTCAATCAACATACTGCAAGGCTTCCCATCAGTAAACCCGTGGACTGGTTTCTTTAAGTAATGCATTCCTTATCACAGCTGGGCCAAATAGATTATTCTCATCTTCAGGGTATCACCTCCTTGGTTTATTATCAACATCTGACTCATCAAAATCTCCTACATAATGTTCATCTTTCTACACTTACAGCATTTTCATTTTCCTGTCATCCTCTGGGAACATTTTTTATTTCCTCATGTTCTCTGTCTGTAGTTTCTGGCAATGTGTCCTTTTAAGGTGTAAATGAAACACCTCCTGTCCTAGCTGGAGTTTACTTCTTCCATCCTGAGTAAACACCTGTCTAATTAAAGGCTTTTGTCTGTACTTCCTGGAAATATGTCCTTTTAAATTGTAACTGAAATACCTACTGCCTTGAGGTTTACTTCTTCTATTTTGTGTAATCATTTGTCTAATGAATCCTCCATTTTCTTCTGGACTTCCATCACAATGTGATGTTTCCATAATACTTGATCTGTGATCCTATAATTCCTGTATGGTGCTTTGTTGTTTTTCTGCAACTTAACTAAACAGCTTCCCATAAAGATATACATCCACTTTACTTTAGCCTGAATTTACATATCCTTGTCCACTATAACATCTACAAATTGGTCATGTGAACCCATCATTTCACTTGAAGCATTCAGATAAGACAACTGGACATTATATTTTTCCTATACTGAAAATGTATTTCCGATAAGTACTTCCCTTCGCTCACAAGATTAGCTTTTCCCATCATTTGTTTTCCTCTATATACAAAAATGTTATATAATGCATGCCACAAGCCTTCTGTACCCCACCTATTGTAATAAAAGATTCCAATGTGTCTCTTATCAAATCATCATGCCTCACCTCTCCACCAATAGGAGAGTAGTACTTCAAAGTTTAGCAGATGATGGAAGCACTAGAAGATTGTGTGGATAAAGGGCAGGAAGTGTGAGAAGAGGTATATCAAATTCAATCCAGAGGATCATACGCCATCTAAACCAGAAAAATAACACCGCCCTACTCTGAACTGAATGGTTACAGCCATCTTTGTGGCACCCATTCAGCAGGGTCCCTCCATGGTCAACCACCCCAGTGGCTTGGAACTGGTAAGTGGTAAGGACTTTCATACTCTAATTGAAGAAAAGGGGGCAGATAGTGCGATGGAGAGCCCAGAGGAACATTGACACCTGAGACAGTGCAATGGGTGATCACAAAACCCTATTTTGAAAACCAAACCACACCGAGTTATTCAATCGAGGCATGGTAAGGATAAGCAGCTATCCCCTTATGCTTTATCCATGCCATCAACGAGTAGTACAATCTAGGATGGGCATGCATATGAAACAAATATTGCGAGGTTATTCACCGACAAGTGATCTTGTAAAACACCCCTTCTCAAAGGTGAGCATGCTGAGCCATGGAAAAAGTGCATGATTCAACTTAGAGTTAAGGAATATCTGGTCAGGCACCACTCACCATAGCGTGGGATCCATAAGAATAGAAACGAAGCAAGGGCCCCTGAAAGGAAAGAAAAGTATTAATATACTTATCCAGTCAAAGTTGCACAGAAGTGTGAAAAACGACCACAGGTGGGGGTCAAACCCAACGAAGAAGAAACCATGATAGAAGAAGAGGAAAAGAAGATCTGAGGTGTAGTCCACTTGCCCCACTGAAGAATGTCTTCTAAGTGATGATGAAGATGAGAAGCCAGAGAAAGAAGGTGTCAAATGCAGGGAGAAAACACCTGGAACAAGATCCAGGAGGACACATAAAAGAAGAAAAAGCCAATCGAGACAAAGGTCAAACCCAATTGGTGGAGACAGAAGGCGCAAGCTCACAAATCAAGGATGGGCACCATGGAAGAAAGAAGTAGAAAGAAGAACCATTGATTGAAGCCATGTAGGCAAAGCAATACCAAAGAGTACATAGAGAACATAAAAGGCTATCAGGATCAGGCCAATGGTAAGGTGGGAAAAGAAAGGAAGGAAGAAGTCAGCAAAAGGGGAAGTACTTCCCGCACTGCACAAGTGTAAGGAAAGGACGGGAAGCAAAGGTAAAACAAAGTCATGAGAACGGGAATGGGATAATGCACCAGAAAATCAGAGAGTGCCCCCAAACAGGTGAAACAGACCACAACAACAGAATAACTAGAACTAGACAGTCTGCAAGAGATGAAGCTAAAGCAAATCAATCTGGCACCAAACTCATGCTGGCACCATCAACCCAATGGGAAGCAAAAGCACTGCATGAACCCTAATATCCAGGGAAAGGGATAAAACATACCTGAGAAATATAGCCAAAAATACCTAGCTGATTCTGCAGGCCAACAGAAGAAAACATGGCAAAATCTGGTGATGAAAAGGCCATCAAATCTTTACCTGAACGAACAAATTTGTATTTTTCATGAGGAAGTGATGCAACAGTAGAAGATGGTGTTTGACCCGTATAACAACTGATCACCCGGTGAACCAACTCAGACAAATACATCAATGGGTCACCCCCACTCGCAGCAATGCCAAAAAGTTCTCATGGTAATAGGGAAACCACGTAATTCATCATAAATTGGTTGATAGATAAATACGTCGTGCGAAAAAATTAAAGACTGGAAAGTAATTGAAAACAAATTCATCAGCTGTATAAGCAAACTAGTAGAAAACCATGTGGCTATAGTAAAACTGTTAAAGTTACAACAATGAAGAACATGAGTGCAAAATTCAAAACATCTGAACACTAGCACTGCCAAACGAGAAGTGATAGTTCAGTAGAGGCGTATAGAGGAAGTCACATGCATCACGTGATTGTACTCTCCTATTAGTGGAGATGTGATGCATGATGAGCTGCACAAGAGACACATTGGAATCTTTGATTACAATAGGGAGTGCAGAAGGCTTGTGGCATGCATTATAAAAAAAAGTTCACATATAGAGGGAAGCACAAAATGGGAAAAGCTAATCTTAATTTACAACTAACATGTGGTAGTTGTTATGGCTCTCTATTGGAAGGTTGCTTAATATTGTTAAAGCTGGTCCTTTTAAATGAGCAAGAAAAAGAATAGCTTGTTGTATACTAATACAATACTATACTATTGTATGCTAATACTATTGAGCAAAGGGAAGTTCTGTATTGGAAAAGTCTTTCCGCATATTCAACAAGTTCAGCTAACG